GGTGGTTTTGCCAGTTGAATGTAAGCTTCTCAAAGCAACACAAGGAAACCCTGCTAACAATGTTACTGGGTGCCAGGCATGCTCTAAAAGCTTAGGTAACATTAATTAATGTCATTATCTCAATCCTATGAAATAGATGCTATTAATAGCCCCATTTTAAAGATGAGGAACATTTTAAAGATGTTATGAGGGTTAAGTAACTTGCTCAAGTTCTTGCAGGAGGTGGCAGGGTTGGGAATCAGACCCAGCTGGTCTAGATTCACATATCTGTTCATAATCAGTGTGTAATTCTGCTTTTTAAACAGAGATGGCTCTCATTCTCTTCTAGCTTTTCCTAATGCCTTTGTAGGAGGCAATTGTTGTGAATTTTCCTCCTCATCTCTTTTTCTCCCTGCACTTCCAGAGTCCCTTAAGTGGGGTGTGGCTTTATTTGCCCTCCACAGTTGAGAGTTCTCTCTGCAACCATAGGGGCTATGCTGGGAGGTGGGGTGGACATGTTTCTTGGACACTGTCAGTGAAGGAGGAGGGCAGTTATTTATTTTTTTTTGGTGGGTTAGTGGAAAATAAGCTGCCACACGCTTATCCTCTACTGAAGTGCAGAGAGAAGATCTTTGTACTCTTAGTTTGAGGGGATAGTAGTTCTCTACACCCAGCTGCACAAATTTGGAGAAATTCAGCCCAAAGTGTGGTCTTTTCTAGATCTTCTGGGTTAAGTGGTTGCTTGAAGGGCCACAAACAGAGAAGAGAGCCCTCAAAATGCTTTCCTCCTAGGAAATAGGAGAATGTATTGCCTGAATTGTTTTCTTTAGGAACCACTGGTATGTTCACTTTGATTGTTACGTTGTTCCAGGGAGCAGCAGGGAGGGAAGATGAAGAGAATGCCTCAGAAATTTGGTACCCTGACACCCCCTTAGGATGTCTAGAACCATGGACATATTACAAGTTTTTCTTATATGCACGTGAGTGGCGGTCTATGGGTTAAAAACTTTGCCTATAAAAACCTTCTGAATATGATGCTTATCCTGAAAGAATCTTTCCAATTATAATAAACCTTTTCAATGTAACCATTTAGGGCTGTTCCCATTTGAACTGGGTGCGTGGGTTGTTCCTATGAAGTTTGTGAATCAGGCATGAACACAATGACCAGGTATTTCTAGCCAGCCAAATAGCCAAAGGTTCATTTCCTATAAAAGCTATTTGATTACAGTATTGAAGTAATGCATTCCAGACGGCTCACATGACTATGTCATGAGTGCTGATGGCCTCAGCCTAGAAATTCTTCCTAACATGGATAGTATTATTCTCTTCTCCTCTGGGACACTTTCCTTTTCTTCTAAGTTCTAATCTCCTCCCACGTTCTCATTTAGAGAGGGTGTTTACTTTCAAAATGCCTTTTATTATAAAAACTTTAAATCAAAACAGAATTAAGATGAATGAACTCAGGCAACTGGTTCTTTTCTGTCTACAGATACTTTTCTCCATTGTTTGGTAAATGGAAATTATGGGACTTAATAATAACAACAGAGTAATAAGCTTCTGAAGCACATAAGGATCTCATTGATACCATCTAATTGTCTTTAAAAGACATTAGGGGGTGGTGTCATTTCCTATTTGCAGATATAGACAACTAGACAAGGTCAGGTGAGTAATATCAGAGCTTGTGGGTGAAACCAAAGATATTAGATCTGAAATCTGAAGAGTACATGATGAGTCCCAGAGTCTAAGCACAGAGAAACCAAATGATGCTTCTGAAAACTAGAACCCAAGGCCATGGTCTTGTGGTCCAGCATTGTTTCCACTGGACACCACTCTGTTGCTGTCCACTACAAATGTGGTGGGGAGTAAGGGGCAGAGAAGGAACATTGGGTTCTCTCATTGACCATGTGGTCATAGACCAGCTACCTTTCTGGGCTCCAGAGTCTCAATTTCTGATATAAAAAAGGCTATTTTCTGCCATCAAAATACCTTTCTAATTTTAAAATTCATGTAGTCTCTGCATTTCTGGACAGAGACACCAATCTGTGCCAATGGCACAAAGACTCCTCGGATGGTTTCTCACTGGAAGTAGTGATGAGCCAACTGGAGAAGGATGCTTTGAAGAGTTGGAAAACAAGGTGTGCTATTGTGGGTTATTTTTACTCTTGGAGACTGATTGTACAGTGTGTCGGGTGCTATATTCACCTTCCCAAGGAAATCAAAATACTTAAATGCAATCTCATGATCATGTGGCGTCAGATAAAGTCATTTAACTTTTCTTTTCCTGCAGTTTCCTCATCTGTTTTGTGGGCCTATTAATAGTATCTACTTCATGGTGACGTTGTGAGGACTGAATTGATACTTATTAAATTATTATTATCGAAAATCTCATTTTATAAACAGGCAAATAGATATTTAAAGGAGGAATTGTCTGTGAGTGTGGTCAGCTGCTAAGCTATGTCAGAATCTAAAAGAGACTCAGAAAGTCACCAAGTCATCCAGATCTTTGAGCCAAATATACTTGTCAATTGTAAAGCAGGTAATAAAACTCTGAACTGCCTCCTGTGGCTATAGAAGATACTTATTTAGCTTCCTAGTAAAAATCCAGGCCTCTTATTCCCTTTATTTATTTATTTATTTATTTATTTCCCTCCCCTTTTTTCCTTTTTTTTTCTTTTCTTCCCCTCTTTAAAAAAATTTTTTTTTCTCTTATTACCTTTAAAAGATTTGCTCACCTGCATTCAAGGACTAGCAGATGGTTTTACATTCTCTTACACGCAGAAGACACTTAACAGAAGTATAGGCCTTTGGCTGAATCCCCTCTTTACTGTGCTGTTTATCATAACTTCTTGTTTATTTATTTACTTTTTATAAGACATGGAGGATACTTTGAGGGGGAGGAAGTTGTCTTATTTCTAGGGTAAATTGAGAATGGCATTTCTGTACCAGCCCTTGGGTAGCTTGAGTCCAGTGAGGTTCATAAGCCTCAGTGTTGTTGGATCATAAGCTCAGAGCAGATTTTTGTGTTGATGGTGCGGATCAAGGTCCACCCAGGCCTAGCACTGAACCAGATGGGAGGGAAGAAGGCATGGATGGAAATGCCATACGTTTGGTTTTCGAGTTAGGGAATAAGAACTCTCTTCTGCAAAGCACCTGGTAATTTACAAGATCCTTTCGTCATCATTATCCCTTTTAATCCTTCCAGCCGAATGGTAGGTGTGACCTGTGTTGTCATGTCCTTTTACTCAAGGTCACACACCTAGACTGGGTTAAGACTCTTCCCCCAAGTTTTCTGAGTCCAAGTTCTACACTCCTTCCACACCTCATCCTATAATCTGAGATGCATTGCAGTTAAATATTGACCAGAGGTACTCTGCCCATTCGGATGAGAAATTATTGATAGAAAAGAGATCATTCTGGGAGTTCTGCATTCCACATGCCCAGTGTAAGTTGCTACTTGTCTGCAGGAAGTAAATTGCTGAACTGTGATTTAAACAATGCATATGTCTTTGATGTGGGCATCAGGCGTTGACTGATATCTGATACATACCCTAAGAATTAGGAAATGCTTTATTGAGTAGAATTGTGGGCTTGATTACAGGAAGTCCCTTTTTCCCCTTAACCCTAACTCCAAGATCATGACTGGATACCTAAATTCATGGAGAAAGAATCTTAAGATGAGATAATAATGACATAATTTGGTCTAAATCTGTAGCTAAAAGCAAAGCTTACATAAAAGTATTACACAAATGTTACTTTTTAGTGTCCAAAGACTATTCATAAACAATTTCATCTGACCTTCACAACAACCCTGTGAAGTAGGCTTGAATAAGTGATCTTTATTTAACAAAGAAGGAAGTTAAATCTGATGAAGGCAAAATGTTTTTTATCCCAGGGTCACAGCTGGGAGGAGGCACGTTTAGGACCTCAGGACTTTTGACTCCACTCTGTGTTTAAATGTGAATTTTTACTAAAACCCACAGAAAGGACCAATGCTTTTTGTAGGAAATGACTTACATACACTGTAACTCGAGTTAAGAAGCTGTGATAATCGCTGGCACGTAAACAATGCCTTCTCCTATCAGGACTGCCTAACACTGGCAGGCAGGAGTATTCACTATTGCTCTTTTGTGATATTTGTGGATAAGTCCATTTCTCTCTGGTGAGTAGACTCAGCAGGAATTTAAGCTATTTTTTCATTGTCACCCATCACAGGGAGCAAGTGAGGCAGGGGTTGTATCTCGAGAGTTCCAGCTATATGTCCCTTGTCAAAACAATCAGGACAAACTCCCATTCCCTGAAGAATAGAAAGAGAAATAGCACACATTTAATGAAAGGACCCATGCTATTTCTTCAAAATGCTCCACATTCACTCCCCACAACTATATCTGATTCTGAGAGACAATATTTGGAGAGGCTAATGGTTCACAAAGTTTTGGAGAACATGGACATCTTTGAAAATATCTTAGAGAAGGCAAAGTATGTTAGTATAGACAACCAATAGTTAAGACAGCAGGGTTTAATAGGCTCTAGACTGGTGAGTGTCTCTTCAAGGAAACTAAATATTAAAGACCTTTCTCCCCACACAGCCTTCTTCCTGTACCCAAAGGAGTTTAGAAGGGAAGGTTGTAACTTTTCCCCTTCATGCGCCAATGGCCAAAAACAATCCCAAACTCGTCAGACTGGCTCTAAGGAGGATCATAAGTAAACAACAGAGAAACCTGCCCATCAATCACCTGTAGAGTCAAGCAATGTAGGCCATCCTCCTGGGTGCTTGCCAATCAGTCCCCAACCCCCAGATAAATGCAAAATGTCCTTCCAGTGAAATGCAATTTATTATCATGTTGGCAGCAGCGACTTAGAGAAGGAACAGAACAAAAGATATGCTACCTGGCAACGGGGACCCGCTGTAGTAGTAAGAAACTAAGTACCTTACAGGACTGGGAAGTTCTTAAACCCCTCTGGCAGGAACATGTATTGGCCTCTCTTTCATGAATGTAGGTCATTTTTATCACCTTGGGATGTTAGACTTTGGCAGGTCTGGTGATGAAGTAAGGCTGCACGTGCTCGTGAGAAGAAATGACCTTTCCATCCTGGATCTCCTTGGTGATGGTGCATATTTTAACCAGTATCCGGGACAGGGCTCCGCAGATGCTGCAGGGCTCACGTACAGCAGGGGGGGCCGAGGCCGTGCAAACAGGAGCTACGTATTCCATGGCTCTGGCCTTATAGGGTATGCAAGTGCAAAGCTCATATTTGGTGGCACACGAGTTACAGAGAAGCCTAATAAGAAACATAATTTGAGCTGTGATCAAAGGAGACAACAATGATTATAGAGAAAAATGGTAGTGGCTAATTTTTCAACATTTATCAATCGCTCAAATCAAGTGCTTCCAAATTCTTATTCACTCACTTTATACTACAGTTAGTAGAAGGAGGAGGATCAGATCAGATCCATTGGAAAACAGTGTCCTAGATTTAGAAATGTTAGATTCTGTAAATTTCCACTCCAGGTAATGCCCAACATCATGGAAAGGGTACTGCAGCAACAGTCAAAGACGAGGGTGCAGCCCATCTCTGTCCTTTACCCACCAGTGATGTCAGGTAAGTCAGTTAGACCTCCTGCACTTTAGTTTTTCACTTACAGAATGGATATTATGGAAACGAAACTCACAGAATCAACAGTGATAAGGAACAAGTTGAGAGGCTCATTATCTGAGAAATAGAAATTAATGAGCTATTTTTCTCACTGGGGAGTGAGTCACTCTACTAGTGGTGGCCTGAACGCTGTCTATAAGAGTCCTCAGCAAGTTCATCAGGAAACTTCAAAGTGCCTGCTGGTGTCTATAAATAGTTTTCAGGGAATCAGAGCAGTTCACAGTGAAGACTCTTTTCATAAACATAATCTTTGTTTGATACTCAGAGGCACTTTTGTATGTTATCACAGCTCCCAAATAGTGGCACTGATTAGCACTGCACTAGTGTAACGTGTGAACTTGCCAACTGAGAGAACATTGTGAACAGAGCTCACCAATGATTTGGGGAAGTAGGTCTCCTTTGCTTTGTCACTAACTCTGTGTTTAGGGTGTTAGTTTGGATTAGTTACTTCAAAGAGCTTGGACTCCAGGTGAGTTCCATATGGGTCAGTTAGCATTATCGTTTTAAAAAATTACAAATTGTATTTAAAAACAGATGCTAAAATACACACATGTGCATGCTACCTATTGCATCCAGGACTAGGGTTAGACAGGGTTTGGGTTTCAACCTGAGCACAATGCTTCTCCAAAGGAGCCAGGATTTTTCTGTCCAATGTCATGACGCTGTCATGAAATTCAGATGTTTATTTCAGTGTGGGAATATCTCTAATGGCTGCCAGGAATGTTCATCTGTGGGGAAACCATTTTCTCTTTGGTAATTTAAGAAACTCTAAGAATCTAAACAACCTACAAGAAATTAACTTGGTGTGTGGACTCTTCAAAACAGCTCAGCTCAGCTAACACCTCAGATTTGGACTAGGTTACAATGGTGGGTCCTGAGAGAGCATGTGGTCATATCTACCCAAAGCTCCCCATCACTGGCAAGAAGACTTGTCCACTCCTTCCCAGTGGCAGTACACACTATACACATGTGAATTGAAGTGTCTTTGCCATACAGGCCATGTTCATTTTACATACTTGCCATCCCAGCTCTCCAGGAGGCTGCGGTATGTGGCGATCTCACACTCCAGCCGGGACTTGACATCCAGGAGACTCTCATATTCGTGGTTTTGCCGCTCCAGGGCAGTCCGGACCCCGGCCAGCTGATCCTCCAGGTTGTCAATCAGACCTTGGATCTGGGTCAGGAGGGCGGTGTAGTGGGCCTGAATCTCCACCAGGATACATTCCTGGGAATCCCTCTACCATGGAGAAGGAAAGTAGGATTTATCATCATGACTCCTTGAAGTCCAGGTCACGTGGGATTTGTATCATTTTTAAACAAAGCTTTCTTTGTGTCAGCACTAATGGGTCTTTAAGTCCATTTACTACCTAACCAAATAAATCCAAAAGCACCATTATCAACACTACCAAAGTTTCCATTCCTTTATCCCCTCTCTTTTGGCCTCCCTTTAAGTATTTACTTCTCTTCTTTCTTGATCACCTGATAATCTCCCATCATATTCTCCTACTTAGGAGAGAAAACATATCTCAATTTATTGCATACCCAGGCATTAAAAACACATTACCATGGCACCTCATTCAATGAGTGTTCCTACCTTAAAAAGGATCTTAGCAGAATTTAACCATAAGTAGTTCCCTCACTGAAGCAATTCCTTTATATATAGAATATGAGTTGAAACTTTATCAACATCAAGTTCTTTTCTGTCCTTGCATTCTGCAAGTCTATGGGTGATGGTAGGATTTTAGGCTTTAATAACCCAATATTTGCATGATTATCCAAATTTTAGTAGATGAAAAAAGTGAGGTTTAAAAGATTCAATGATTTGTCCAAGGTCACATGAGTAGCTGGTGACAAAACGGGTTTGGGGAAAGGTCTTCCTAATGTTGCCCTTCCTAATAACCTTCCTAGCAGAGCATTTAAGTAATTTCCTACCTCAGAGAGGCAGTACGATGAAGTAGCAGCGGGTGCCTCAATGCACTGGATTCTGGCCCTGACTCTAGCTGAGAGTTACTCAATTCCTCAGAATCTCTGTGTCTTCATTTATGAAACAAGTGAGATGAAACTTATCTTGAATTTAGCTTGGAAAAAACCACCTTAGCTCTGACAGCCTCATCTATAAAATTGGTTAATAATCATGCCACTTCCCTCAGAAGATTGTTTTATAAATAGGATATGATAGCTTATAAAAATGCTTTGCATATAATAAGATATTCTTAGTGTTTCCCAAAGCATATTCAATGAATCATTATCACCATTAGATGCTATATTAAAAAAAAAGGAGTCCATAGTCAAATAAGTTTTGGCATGCTGAATATCACGTATTCATCCCCCTTTTGGAGATTGGTGGATTATATCAGCATATGAAATGCTCACAGGAAGATGCCCTGTTAACCTTTGTTTAATCCAGCATTTTCCAGACTTATTTGACCACAAAGTCCCTTTTTAGGGCCATAGATCCTTTAACAAGCAGAGGAACTATGGTTTTGAGAGACACGATTTGGGAGATACTGTAACACACAGGTGTCAGGGGCTGTTGCCATCTTTGCTGAGCGAGGCTCAGTGAGCTTTTGGGTACCATTCGGTGCTGGGCCTGCAGTTCAACCTCCAGAGCATTCACACTGCGCCTCAGTTCTACCAGCTCTGTCTGGCAGCCTTGCTGCTGCTGAGCGCTGGTCACCACCTGCTGATTTAGCTCTTCCATCTGAAACACAGTTCAAGACCATGAGTATTAAGGGAAGAAAACATGACTTTGATGAAAGGGCCCTGGAAATGCAACATCCACTTGTGGTTTTGGACTCTTCTACTCTCCCCACCTGCATGTTGAACCACTGTTCCACATCTTTACGGTTTGTCTCCATGATGGACTCGTATCGACATCTCATTTCTTGTAGAACCTGGTTTAGGTCAACAGAAGAGGCAGCAGTCACTTCGATGTGAAGTCGGTCCCCAAGCTGGCACTGTAAGGAATTGATTTCCTGTGGAGAGCAAAAGAACATGAAGTTAGTCGGTGGGTAGATGACCCCCTTGTGTTCTCGTTTCAAGTCTAACAGTAATAATTTAGCTTATTGTGTCTAAACTATAGCCCACAATAAAGAAATCCTTCCTTATTGAGATGTCATAAAATGATTTAAGGCCATTTCAGATAAGACTATGTGTTTGAATTTGTACAAAATTAAAAGAAATTGAGTAAGCAAGATCAGATCATTTCTGGAGAGGGGTAATGGGTGATGCAGTATAGAGGTGGATTTATAACGAGAGACCATAGACTCTATGATGCCAATGTGGGTTTGTGCCAGTGTTGACTTGTACCAACAGGAGGTGGCAGAAGTCTCCACTGGGATGTCCATGCAGATGGAGGGCCTATGAGGATAGGAACATTGGGTTTCTTTCTTCTCATGAAAAAGCTGGATGGGTCTTCCCTATCCCATGTAGGTCCAGATAGTGTGTGGTAGCTAATGGGTTTAAAATAGAACATTAAACCAGACATAGTAGCCATAGGGCCCAAACCAGACTAGCATGTAGTGAGAATGCCCTCTGCCAAGTACAGCTCAAAGGAACTGATGCTATTTTTAGAGGCTTAGCTTGTGCTAACTCTCTTGGTCATTCTCTAACCTCTTTGTGGTTGTTCTTGAGGCAAAGGAGCTCCTCCTTCAGAGACTGGACTTGCGCCTCTAGGTCAGCCTTGCCCAGGGTTAGTGCATTCAGGATCTGCTTCAGGCTGTTGGCATCTGCCTCAACCAGCTGCCGTAGGGACACCTCTGCTTCATAACTTTATAAAGACCAGACACAAAAAGGAAGACATTAAAAAAGAGATGGTGCAAACCAAGCCAAGCAGAACTCCCTCCTGCCTTTTTCTCTGGGCATCTCATGTAGTGTATTTCTACTGAGAGTTTTACTCTCTTTAGAGGCAAAATCATTTGATAAATATCATAACTTAATCCTTACTACTAAACTAGTTTGCCAGGGTGATGCCACCTTGCTATTCTTTGAGATGAGAGGATTTATCCTCCTTTCTCTGTCCCTAGACGCAATGTGGTTTAAGTGAAAAATGCACAATCTGGATTCAGTGTCAGAAAGCCTGGGTTCAAGCTTTGGCTCTGCCTTATCTTAGTTATATACCTTTGGATGAGTAACTTAAGCTCATTAGACCACACTTTTCTCACCTCAAATGGGGCAATAATATATCAGCCCTACCTGTTTTCCTGAACTATTGTGCAGCTCTTGGGCTTATATGTTAGAAACTCTAGGTACCTGTATACACATGTGAACGGTTATTAATCTCAATCACTTATTGAATTTGAAGGTCTTTTCTGGGCTAGTGCCAAGTATGGGGCAGGAGGGTTAGTAGATGCGGGCATATCTTATTGAGATATCTAGGTCATTACTGGGAGGGTCTAGGTTCACGGTCAGACTCCAGGTGAGTTCTGTCACTAGGGGCAGCATTAGGTGGGCTTACTTGGCTCTCAAGTCATCTGCAGCCAGTTTGGTGTTGTCGATTTGTGAGACCAGTCTGGAATTCTCAGCCTTGGTACACAAGATCTAGAATTAAGAAATTGTATACACAAATGAGACAAACACCAGGATCTCCTTCTTTAAGAACCAAGAGGAGTTGTGTGTGCTTCAATTGAGAGGGGAAGGCTAATTCAATTTCTATTAATCTTCATAGCTATGATCAGGAAGTTTGGAAATCTTTAGAAAATCAGAGTTCTTGTTCTTTTTCTAACAGATGAGAACACATTTACTTAAATAGAAACTTTTGGGTATGTTTTTCTGTTAAGATATATAATCCATCCTAAATTTGCATAACTAAGCATGATCTACTAGAAAGTAAACTGTATGAGGGCACAGACTTTATAAAGTTCACCAAGATTTTCCTCAAGCCTAGAAGACTTGGCACATTATAGTTGCTGCTCAGTAAATATTTGTTGAACAAATAGAATGAATAAATCCAGATATGGAGCAACAACACACAGGGTAGCCATAAAGTTCTAGGGCAATTGCACACAAACTTTACAGTCACCCTGTGTGTAGGTCTGAACAAGAACCTTAGGTTTGGCATAGAAACAAAACAATTAGAGAATGATAAAACAAGCATAAAAAGATAAAAAGGTGGTGGTAGTTGCAAAATGGATAAAAATGTAACTGTTTAGGAACTTATTTAGAACAAAATTCATTTTCTCAGATCCCTGATTTCTTATTTTTATGAAAGAAATGGTAGCAACTGGTTGTAATGGTAGTGTGTATCTTTGGAAAAAGGAGAAACTATAAAACTCTGAATGTAACCTCAAGATGACAGTTTCACCCAAGAGACATTTTCCTGTTCTTAAAAAACTTTTCAGCATATTTTATTTCTCTTAAATAGGATTTCCTATAATCCTAATCTCACCTTCCCTCTAAAATGAGGAGATATAAATTTCTGGATCCCATTGGGTTATTGGATAATCAATCTGTGATTCTCCTTGAGAACATGGTAAACAAATCTTTCTCTTATTAAAAAAAAAACTTTTCAACATAAAATGAACTAAGAATATTAGAGTTTAGCAATAAAATAGGACTTGAATACCATGAACTCACAACTTGATTAAACAGGTTCCTATGGCTCTTACCTTCTGCTGCAGCTCCTCGATGGTAGCATAGTAGGATTGGTAATTGGGACATAGGACTGGGACCTCTTTGTTACCTTCTTCCTGGATTTTACGCTCTAGTTCTGCGTTCTCTCTTTCCAGCATCTGCACCTTTTCCAGGTATTTCGCAAGGCGGTCATTCAACATTCGCATGGTCTCCTTCTCATGACTGTTGATGCCTTTACCACACCAGTCAGAGTCATCTGGAGAGGCATAGGCATTGAGGTTGCTTATTAGGTAGGTGGGCATGCGACAGAAGCAAGGAGTGGGGTGACGGCCCTGTTCCTGGGGTATTCTCAGAAGGCGGCCAGGTGGTTGGCAGCTCTTGGCTCCGAGACCACTCTTGGAGTGGCAGCTGTTTCTAGATGAGGCGATTTTAACATTTGTAATCCTAGAGCAGTTTTGGCCTGGGGTTGGAGAAGAAATGGTTGTTGTATTGCCCTTGGCATCCATAGTGTGTGCCTGGCTTCAGTTTGTTTCAAGGTCTGTCGTCGCCAGGATGAAAAGCTCAAGCAACCTCAGCCAGAGTCTAAATTCCAAGCCTCTTGGCTTTTTCCTCTTTGAAGTGCTTATATAGCCTCTAGTTGGTGTCACAACAGGTGGGATGTTTTGCTTTCTAATGGTTATATCACATCCCATAGGAACATGTCATTAGCCTCCTTTTTACTTGGCCTGAGAAGAGTTACTTGCCCCATAAAAATCTGCATTTAGGCTCTTACAAAGTTATTACCCACCACAACTACTACTTGTCATTGGATGCAGAGCTTCACATTCTGTGTTCAAAAGGAACTGTCATCATAGTTCTAACAGCATCCGTGATTAAGCAGGTGTGAGTATATCAAGTCTATTAAGTTCTTGGTAACACCCTCACCTGGCATTGAGCTTGAACACCAATCGGTCCATCCTTCTCTAGAAGACAGAAACTACTAATGTTTAATAATTATTGATGAACTTAGAAATGAGGATTTTATTTTGTTCTGATCTTCTGATTTTCCCATTTCATGTTAGGACATTGTTAGATGGATTAAAATGTTTATTGTTAAGTAAGCCTCTTTTAAAAGGTAATTGCTAGATTCATGATTTAGCTTTCCACATAGGGTTTTATTGCTAACAAGAAATTTCTTAGAAAACAGTCTGGTTACCTTTTGGTTTGCCAAAGCCCACTCATGTTTTATAACATTTTGGGTGCTCAGTGGATTTATATTGCATGTGGATTTATTTGATTAGAAACTTCTCATGATATCGGCTTATATTGGACATTTAGATATGATCTGTTGAAAGTTTTTTTCCTGAGGAATACTTACTTGGCATTTTCTTAAGAAAGTTACTTGTTCCTAATCTTTTAAAGAGACTCTAGGGAAGAATCCCTTTCTAGCCTTTTCCAACTTCTAGAAGCTGTCTACATCCTTGTCTTGTGACCTTCTTCTATTTTCAAAACCAGGAAGGGCCACTGGAGTCTTCCTGACATTGTATCTGGCACAGATACACATTCACAATCCCTTTCCTCTTCCACATTCAAGGACTCCAGGGATTATGTTGGTTCCACCTAGATAATCTAAAGTAATCTTTCTATTTTAAGGTCAGCTAATTAGCAACCTTTCTTTCCCTTTTATTTTCCCTCCTAACATCTTCCAGGTTCTGGGATTAGGACATGGACATCATTGGGTACTATAGAATGGAATAATGTAGGAATAAATTAGTTAGAAAGGTACAAGATCTACATGAATAAAATATTACAATATACTGAACTTGAGAATTATACACAGAAAGCTATATCATGTTCTTGGACAGAAAAAATAGTATTCATCATTAGAAAAATGTCAACTGTCTCTACATAGTTTAATTAAAGCTCAATAAATTTAATGAGATCCTCTTATTTTCCATATAGGTAATTTTTTCCCAACTAGATGACATAATTCTGAAAGTTGTATGAGAAAACTTAAACAAACTGGAATAGCCAGGAAAATCCTGCAAAATAGTCCTTTCAGATACTAACATCTATTTTAAAGCATCAATAATTAAAATAGTGTGGTATTGATACCTGGCTAGTCAGACAGACCAATGGAATAAGAAGTCTAGATAGATACTCCTGAACAGATTGAGATTTAGTATATGATAAACATAGCATTTGAAGTCAATGGGGGAAAAGGTAGGCCATTATGTGTACTTTGGGGACAATTCTGTATAACTCAGGGGGAAGGAAGGGAATATCGAAACCTCACTCATGCCACAAGTTACAAGTGGATTAAAGAGTCAAATGTGAAAAAAAAAAGAAATAATAAATGTGCTAAAAGAATACCTGAGATGCGCACATTTTGGTTACATAATTTGCTTTTGTATATTTTAAGTCCAAATTATGTGTGCACTTTACTCACAATTATTTTATAAATTTGTAGTCAGAAGTCCTTTCCAATAGTGACCCCAAATTAAAAACTATAAAAAATGATAAATTTGACTATATAAAATAACAATTTTTTAAACTTGTGCTTGGATAAAAATCACAGCCTATAAAACTGGTAGACACATTCAATAAAAAAAAAAAACTGGAAGACAAAATGACAAATTGAGAAAGAATATTAATAATTACACCACAGACAATGACCAGAAAGAAAATGCAAAAAGGCATTTAAAATGAGAACAAGTGGCTGGGTGCAGTGGCTTACACCTGTATTCGTAGCACTCTGGGAGGCTGAGGTGGGAGGATAGCTTAAACTTAGGAGTTTGAGACCAGCCTGAGCAAGAATGAACCCCCTCCCCCCCCCGCCCTGGCCCCAGTCTCTACTAACAATAGAAAAATAAGCTGGGTGTTGTGGCAGGTACCTATAGTCTCAGCTACTTCGGAGGCTGAGCCAGAGGATCCCTTGAACCCAGGAGTTTGAGGTTGCTGTGAGCTAGGCTGACACCACAACCTTCTAGCCTGGGCAGCAGAGTGAGAGACTCTGTCTCAGAAAAAAAAAATGAGAGAAAGTATTGACTGTCAGCCTAAAAATTTAAACTACACTGAGATATCATTTCATTTTTCCACCTATCAGACTGAAAAACAAAATCAAAGTTTGGTAATAAAAGCATTGTGCTGTGTGCAGTACTCTCATTCATTGCTTGTGGTAGTATAAATCCATACAGGTTACAACACGTAATGTTCTTATAATTAAGAGAGTGTGATAGTGGCATAAGGATCAGCAGATGGACCAGTGAGAGAGAATATAGACTCTAGAAATGGTGTCACTTGTATGAGCTCAACTGATTTTTGACAAAGATCTCAAAGCCATCAGGAGAAAAGGAAAGCCTTTTCTATAAATGTTCCTGAATCAAATAGATAATTATATAGCAAAAAATATTACATCTTGATCTCTACCTCACACGATACATAAAAATTCATGCAAGATGGATTAAGAACTTCAATGTGAAGGTTCCATACCATATAAAGTTTTTAGAAACAAACAGAGGATTATGTTCATAACCTTGAGCTAGGTGAATACTTCTTAGAATATGGGTGACTCTATAATTAATAGTTTCATCAAATTAAGCTTCATCAATAAAGCCTTTCATGGATCGAATGAATAGCTAAGAAAGTGAAAAGGCAAGCCAGAGACTGGATAAAAATATTCTCTTTCCTCATTTTACATATACATATATATATGTACACACACACATATACATATATATACACACAGTCATGTGTCTGTTTACAATGGGGGTAGATTCTGAGAAATTCCTCCTTAGATGATTTAGTCATCGTGCAAACATCCAGAATGCACTTACACAAACCTAGATGGTCTAGCCTACTACATACCTGTGCTATATGGTACAGGCTATTGCTCCTAGTCTATGTATATAAACTTGTACATCAAGTTACTGTCATGGAGTTTGGGCAGTATGTCATGGGTTTATTTATCTGAGAAATGTTTTATTTTGATTATTTCCCCTACATTGTACTGTTAAATCAGGAGAGAACTATGAAAAAAGATGTAGTATACAATTTTAGGTCTTAAACTTGATTTTTGTTTAAACCTACCTGTATTTTTATCATGTGCTTTGAGTGCCAAGACTACTATGAAAATGTCCACACACACAAACTAGAAAATCTATAGGAAATGAATAGATTTTTAGAAACAATGATAACTGCTTTCATCACTTCTAGTCAAGTCCTACCCAGAGCACCCAGATAAGAGAAAGAAATAAAGGGCATCCAAATCAGAAAAAAGTGGTCAAACTATCTCTGCTTGCCGATGATATGAACTTTCATCTAGAAAACCCTGAAGACTTCTCCAAAGGACTCTTGGAACTGTTAAATACATTTGGTAGTCTCAGGTTACAAAATTGATATACACACATCAGTAGCATTTGTATATGCTAATGTATGCAATCAAACTAAGAGTCAAATCAAGAACTCAATACCACTAATAATAGCTGTAAAGAAAATGAAATTCCTAGGAATATACTTCACCAAGGAGGTGAAAGATCTCTACTGATGAAAGAAATCATAGATCACAGAAACAAATGGAAAAACAGCCTGGTAAAAATGGAAGTCTGAACTTACCACTTGGTGTCTTGTGGTGGGCTTGGTTTTGCCTGTGGTGTTTGGCTGAGTTGAGTGGTTTTTTGCCTAAAGATTTCCTATCTTGCTAGCCTGCCCCTTTTCTGGTTTTAGAGTGAGCAAGATCTTTGGGGGTTTGTTTGTTTTTTGTCTGAAACCTTTAATGTTTCTGGGTTGTTGGTTGCTTCACTCCCACTGATGAGATAAAAAGAAAATGCAGGGAACACATCACAGTGCCACCTTGATTCTTAAGATCCCTGGTTAGTCCTTCTTTTTGTTTTATTATATAATTTCCAGGGTTTTAGCTATACTTAATGAAGAGGAATGGGGAAATGTATGTCTACGTCATCTTTCTGGAAGTGGGCGTTCCCTACCTTACTTTTTTAATGTGTGAAAATAATTATTCATATAATCTAAACGTGCAATAACTGACCAATGTAACTTATGGTATATGATGCAACCACTAAAATGATGGCCATGAGAAGCCTTAGTCTTAAGTTTTTATTAGAATTGTAAATGCTTAGAGGACACAAATGAAAAGAAAAGATTGCACCACTGTCTGCATAGGTAAATGTGGTTATAACTCTCTGGAAAACCTAGTATCAGAGAAAAAGAAATGGAGGGATGTTCTCCTGAGTATTGACAAAGGATGGTTGGTAGATGGAATTATGAGTGACTGTTTTCCCTTTAATGAGCCAAATTAAAAAAAGGAGAATCTAGTACTTTTATAATTAAGAATGTAATAAATATAATGATATTCCCCACTTCCTCTCAGAAAGATACATACAACTATCTCCTATGATATATGACATTTTTCATGCATTAGTTGATTCGTGTTTGAGGAGTTAAACACACTTTTAGTGTTTAGGGTTTATGCAAATTCAAACTCTAGTCATCAAAGGAATATTCTGTGAAC